CACGAATGCCTCCCCCGCCCCACTATTGGGGTCCAATGCCTATGAGGGGTCACATGCCTGGTGGCCCACCACTACCGCCGCCTCAGTTCATGCCTCCACCGGGAAGACCGCGTGAGTTGATAGGCGTCCCCACCATCGACAACAACAATGTCCGTCACAATCAACCCCTTTCTAATCGCACTGTTATTGAGCCCAACATTCAGATGGGAATGAGAGGCGGTATGCGAGGAGGCAGAGGGCATATGGGGAGAGGAGGCTATAGGGGGCATATGAGGCGAGTGGTGAACGATAACTCCGATAAGACATGTCTCGAAGTGCGAAAGATTCCCTCAAATCTGAACTCCATTTTACACCTAAACCAACACTTCTCCAAATTTGGATCAATTGTTAATTTGCAGGTAAGAGACGCAGCATTTCGTGTGTTAATTGTTTGATACTATAATCGCATTATCTGTTGGACAGGTATGCCATGAGGGCGATCCCGAAGCGGCATTAGTACAGTACGCGAGCCATGGCGAGGCGTTGGCTGCCATTAGGAGTACAGAAGCCGTGCTAAACAATCGGTTCATTAAAGTGTTTTGGAAGTCCAAAGACCAACAACAGGCTCACGACCAGACATTCGGGCCTAAAGTGGAGGGCACTGACGACTCGGACGCCAACTCGAGGGCGAGTATTAAAGACCGTTTGGGACCCAAAGTGAGCGAAACGGAGAGTGTGTTGACGGCTGTGAACTCGAGCGGAACCATCTCTCGGACAGTCTTCGATCCGTCGAAACTGAAGAAAAACAACACAACAAACGCTCATAAATTTCAATATTCCAACACTACTACGCCCAGCACTACCCAAACACTACCAACAATTGTAATTCTGTTTTATATTGTGGGCAATATATGGCAATTCACCTCAAATATAGTCAAATACCAACCACAATCTATTACTATGATATACCAATAGCTATAATGTCATAATTTGTAATATTATAGCACAGTATAACACAATATAATATAATAGTAGAGAAACAAGGATTACAATTATGAATTGGTCGAAATCCTTGGAATTCATGCCATTAATTGGAGCCATCATTGAAGATGTGCACAGAAACCCATATCGACAGCGGTTTCTATGATAGCATAGACACTGATAATAAGTATTGAATAGATTGCAGTACATTGTGCACCGGTAGCCAACTTTTCCATTGGAAATACAATGTTCACTGTTCTAACAGAATATGGGTATCGAGAATAGGGTTCACACGAGAGTGCATTCACTTATAGCCGAAAATTCATATTTTTCGGCCAATTGTCTCCCGTATTGAATCGCTGGCGTACGTAATGACTACACAAATGAGAAATGAAGTGCTGATGCATTCAAGTCATCCCTTTTATAATACAATATAATTGTCGAGTAAGTTATATACTATGGTTGTTAACGCTCATAAATTTCAATATTCCAACACTACTACGCCCAGCACTACCCAAACACTACCAACAATTGTAATTCTGTTTTATATTGTGGGCAATATATGGCAATTCACCTCAAATATAGTCAAATACCAACCACAATCTATTACTATGATATACCAATAGCTATAATGTCATAATTTGTAATATTATAGCACAGTATAACACAATATAATATAATAGTAGAGAAACAAGGATTACAATTATGAATTGGTCGAAATCCTTGGAATTCATGCCATTAATTGGAGCCATCATTGAAGATGTGCACAGAAACCCATATCGACAGCGGTTTCTATGATAGCATAGACACTGATAATAAGTATTGAATAGATTGCAGTACATTGTGCACCGGTAGCCAACTTTTCCATTGGAAATACAATGTTCACTGTTCTAACAGAATATGGGTATCGAGAATAGGGTTCACACGAGAGTGCATTCACTTATAGCCGAAAATTCATATTTTTCGGCCAATTGTCTCCCGTATTGAATCGCTGGCGTACGTAATGACTACACAAATGAGAAATGAAGTGCTGATGCATTCAAGTCATCCCTTTTATAATACAATATAATTGTCGAGTAAGTTATATACTATGGTTGTTAACGCTCATAAATTTCAATATTCCAACACTACTACGCCCAGCACTACCCAAACACTACCAACAATTGTAATTCTGTTTTATATTGTGGGCAATATATGGCAANACGCCTATCAACTCACGCGGTCTTCCCGGTGGAGGCATGAACTGAGGCGGCGGTAGTGGTGGGCCACCAGGCATGTGACCCCTCATAGGCATTGGACCCCAATAGTGGGGCGGGGGAGGCATTCGTGGTCCCATAGGGCCACCGGGCGGTCCCTGTGGCGGGTGTGGTCTCTGAACGTTTGGGTCCATTCCGGGCGCTTCCGGATTGTACGGTTCGGCCAGATATGAATTGGGAGCGTTTGGAGGTATACCGGGGCCGGGCATCATAGGGCCCGGGATGGGGTGCATGAGAGGAGCGCCCGACGGGTTATTGTTCGTGAATCCGAGCGCCGCCGAGACATTACTGTCCAAAACGACGGGATCGTTGCCGTGATCGTAGGGACACTGGTCTCCGTTGATGCAAAACCCCCGCTCCTCGTAATCCCTGCACTTCTTGGCCTTCGGACCGTCTTTGGGGTTACCTTTCGATGAGGGAGAGGGGGATCGGGAGTTGGGTCGCGACGCAGGACGACTCCGTTTATTAGACGGTGAGTCGCGATCCCTATCCCTACTCCACGAGCGACTCCGGGACCGCGCGGGCGATGGCGAGCCGCTGGAGAAGGAACGCGGCGATCGGCTCCTGGAGTGCCCCCTCTTCGGCGGTCCCCTTCTGTAGTCCCGTTCGTTACGATAGCCGCCAAAGCGTTGAGAGCCAGAGCGCCGGGCGTTCATATTTCCGCGTCGATTACGTCTGTCGTCATTGAAATAAGCGCTTCCGTTGTTGCGATTGGGTATCGGACCTAACCGTCTGGTGTCGAACCCGTCCCGACGCCGTGTGTTAGCCATCGGTGACCGACTCCTACTCCGACTCCGGCGGCGCTTATTATCTCTCACTTTATTAATGGACTCATGAGTTGATTCGGCTTTTGGTTGCAAACTATTGGACTGCTGTTCGGAACTCCTATTATTGTTACTACTGTTTGTTCCCAACTCTGGACTCTTTTGCCGGGCCATCGGCGCCAATGGCGTCGAGTCGGACAATGGAACCGTCGCTCCGGAGGTTTGCGTCGACGGCCGCGAAGAGGTGACTGCGGGTGCGGGCGATGGCGTCGTCGTCGGGACCGCGGCGTTGAGGTACGACTTGTTGCCGATGGTGTCAAACAGTGTCTCCACGAATGTGATCGTCTGGTGCGACAGAAACACTTCCAACTGATCCAAACAGATGCTCTTCAAGTCCTTCTCTGGTTTGTCTTTTTTGATTAACGCCATCACGTATTTGGCTAACGCTTCCGGATCGGCATCGCAGCTGAAGATTAGATAACAAAACGCGAGATTAGATACACACACGTTGTCAATGGTCGTGGAAGTGATCATCACTCACAGCGGTTCCAAGTAACTCCTGAGCCAACTCCTAAACGCTTCCGTATTCTCCACAATCATGTCTTTGGCTATCAATGGGTCTTAAGATTCAATTCAATCCAATGAACTGCAAATGAGATCAACGGATGGCTAATGAGTTCACAACACGACATAAGGTCTGCAAACGTGCGATCATTCTTACCATTTATGGCTTAACCACAGCACAGGAATCAATTCAACGATACTTAAGACTCGCGTCTGAGGCGAGACACGGATTCAGTGATAATAGTCTTAAAGTGCGCCAAATGAGTGTCCAAATGACAAAATATGTCCACTTTTTGGTCACAGATAACGACAATTCATTGCGAACTCAAACGAAACGATAGTGTCTTTGAATGCACGGTGAATGAGTGGTTCCTTAGGGTGATGTGCTCTGGAGAGTGGATGCAATGGGTGTCCGCAAACTGATGGCTAAATTGGTGGTCAAGTGTTGTGTTGAACGCAAACCTAATGACTATTACTTCGCGAATGAGATAAACATTGAATGCATTGAACGTCTCATTGGAAAACATGGGGTTCTTATGGCACACACTGGCAGTCAGTGTCGATTCAACGCGTTCTCGATTCGCTCACAAATTACGGCCACATATGCTCTGAAAAAATGCCCCCTTTTTGGGCCCCCTTTGCATATGTTTTGCATTCATTCCAATGTCTAGTAAACTGTCAAATTGCATGTCATTATAATTTGTTATCAATGAATTTTTAACTGTAGAATATTCTAACAGTTGTGAATTAACTTGCTACAATTTGTAGCGTGTTTGAAAATATACATTTTTAAGTAATATAACTTTTATTAAGAAAATATTCGTGTTGTAAAATTATGCAAACGTACGTACAGTACAAATATACAATCAGCATTATAAGATTTACTCATATCTATAATATGTAGATACAGTATTTTTACATTTAATTTAGATAGGCATTTTAAAAATGATTTTGTAATTAATTTGTGGGTAATAATTTAATTATGTTATTTCATTACAAAATCATACGTATAAGGTATATTAAAAACTACTGCTAAATAAAATATTTTCTCACTTAATTTAAGATTATGAATTAGTCCATAATGGTTATTATCTTAATAATTTATTAGTAATATATTACAAAATATGTGATTAAATATGTGTTTATTAAATATATATATATTATTATTATATATATTATTAAAATAGTCCTTATTTTACGATTTAAATAGATATCTAATTCATCGCCTGATATCTCTCACCAAAAACAATATGTAAATATTTTTTGCTTTTAATATATTTTCTAAAACAGTACTACTGTAATTGAAAAATACTAGTCATAAACTGATAAAATTATTTTCAATGAACNTAAATATTTTTCTCAAATTAAGTTCTCCATTAAGAAAGTTTTAAATTTGAAAAACATTTTTCTAATCAATTATTATGTTTCAAAATAGATAGGCTATACTATTCGTAATGTTTTACCTGTTTTTTGCCAATACTGTACAGTCTATTCATTACACATAGAGCGCCATCACTCGAGACCATTATTCTGTACATCATATCAGAAGTACAGTATATAAATTATATCAAAATAATTACGGAATATTCTGTATAATCAATGATTTTTGTTATTTATTTATTGATTTCTGATTTCTCTTCTAATTATATCTCAATTGACCCAAAATTATTGATTTTGCGTTTTCTAGTAAAGTATAATATTATAAACATTTTCAACGATTTTTGTGCAGACACACCATCTCTAAACATGAATTACACATCAATTCTTAGTATTTCATTATATTTAATAATATATAAAGGTTATTATTAAAAATATAAAAAATCTTATGATAGTGAATAAAATATTGAAATGTTTTGAAATCATTTAAAGAATCGTATGTGAATTATAATGATATATAAATAGATATCAGACCAAAAATATTAAGGTTTTGCCTAAAGAATGGTTAGCTAATGAACTCTAGCCTTGAATATAAGGCCTTAATGTATTTCTATTGAATAAGTCAGCAATGAACTTCAATTTGAGACTAATTTTATATGATAATAAATAATAAATATTGTATTCAACTTATTCTATACAATTACAGTTATATAATATTTCATTAATTAGTGGTCTATGCAATAAATATGATAAAAATATCCTGATTTATAATTTATTTATAATAAATAGAAAAATCATATTGCCTGGATTATGCTTAAAATATGAATTATAATTTTTTAAAAATATTATTTACCTAATTTGATTATCTGCTATGAAATATTGTATAAGATTATGAAAATGAATTTAAAAATAAAATATTAATTATTATTGCAAACAATAGGATAAATCAAATATAAATGTCTTTCCAACAGCATTATATTGTATTATACTATTTACTAGTGTTATATAGGATTCAAATGGATTGAATAAACAGTCTAATTGTGGATCTTTTTTTGACCCATTTTTCCCTATTATTATAAGACTTCAATCAATTCAAAGCAAACAATAAGTTTATGTCTAGATATAGAATAATTGGTTAAAATTGGAGTCGTTTTACGATTCTTACCTCAATCTCATAAATCATATCTCAAATATCATAAATTATAAACAAGTTTTAAACTTACTATTTTTATAAAAGCAACCATGTCTTATTTATAATCATCTCCACAGAATTCTACAGAATATTAAATTATTTCGCGAACAAAAATTGATGTATACAATAGTGTTATACAAATTGGTTGGGAGTAAATGTTTTATTTAAAAACGCCTCAATCAATTCAAAGGTAATGTAAAAATTTTTATACGAAAAGCTCAATTTAATATAAAGTTCAAATCTATTGATCGCAAGTGTATTGAGAAAAGGTTTTAATAATTTATAAAAGAAAATAACACAGATTTTCTTATTGGTAACAAAGTTGGCTGAAATTGATTTAAAGGAAATGACTGTCCAAAAATGATCTTACAAAGTATAGACAATTTTTATAAATATTTTACGAGCAAATGTGCATGGTCAATATTTAATAATAGCTTTATTATTTTTTATTAAGCTTTTGTAAGTAATATTTTATTTAAAAATAAAGTTTTATAACGTTATAGCTATTGTTTATTACACTGTATTTATAGTCATAACATTACAAAAAAATATTTTAGCTTAATTTAAGTGACCTTAAAAACGTTAGTTTCCTATTATACTAGTATTATATAATGTGTTTAATTAACTTATTATTGCATTTATTGATTATTTTGTATTATATAAATTTTTTATTTCACATGATACATCTATATTTATTATATAACTTGAGCCATGTACTGAAACACAAATGTAATCTATTGATACAAATATAATAATTTCAATTTATTTATTAAAAATGTGTTTCATATAAAACAATAAAATTGATATAATAATTAAATGCTAAAAATACATTTTTATTGTTAAATTTAATTCCATATTTATGTACTAAGGTAAAATATAAAAGTTTTCAAAAATATTCTGTATTCTTATTATTCTATTAATACTGTACATCAAATTGTAGTAGTGTACAAATTTGACAGTTTATGACAAGTACTGTACCTAAGTCAATAGTTGAGCTAGTAGCTTATATAAATACAGTACACAATTACCGTATCTGAAATATGTACTTTTAAGCACTTTGCTACTTGCTAAGATTAAATTGTTGTCAATATTCCCACTGAAATCAAATAGTTTCAAGAATATTTTAAAACAAGATTTTAGTTATTACTGTATTAGAATTTATTTTCATTATTTTGCATTATAGTAATATAAGTTTAGGTCACCTATTATATTCATAAATTATTTTGTTGTCATTTCATTTTTCTAACATTAAATTGTTCATTGAAAATAATTTTTATCAGTTTATGACTAGTATTTTTCAATTACAGTAGTACTGTATTAGAAAATATATTAAAAGCAAAAAATATTTACATATTGTTTTTGGTGAGAGATATCAGGCGATGTATTAGATATCTATTTAAATCGTAAAATAAGGACTATTTTAATAATATATATATATTTAATAAACACATATTTAATCACATATTTTGTAATATATTACTAATAAATTATCAAGATAATAACCATTATGGACTAATTCATAATCTTAAATTAAATGAGTGAGCAAATATTTTATTTGGCAGTAGTTTTTAATATACCTTATACGTATGATTTTGTAATGAAATAACATAATTAAATTATTACCCACAAATCAATTACAAAATCATTTTTAAAATGCCTATCTAAATTAAATGTAAAAATACTGTATCTACATATTATAGATATGAGTAAATCTTATAATGCTGATTGTATATTTGTACTGTACGTACGTTTGCATAAT